GGAGGAGGTTGCTGAGAGAAAGCTGCTGTCCAAGCTTACATCCATCACGGACAACACCTCTCACCCCTTGCACCAGACTGCAGAAGAGCTGAGCAGCTCCTTTAGTAAAAGACTTTTACACCCTGTTTGTAAAATGGAGCGCTGCCGCAGGTCATTCATCTCTGCTGCAATCAGACTTTACAATGCGGCACTATAAGTACAATAACTTGTGCAATAACTAATGTGCAATCACTATTTTTAATACCCTGTGCAATAACCTGTGTTTTATATTTAATACCCATTGCAAAAACTACAAATACAGTATATAAATACCTATTTATTTAACTACCAGTTTAATACCTTGTGCAATAACTGAGTAATAATCCTGTTAAATAAGAGACTTCAGCTGTTATATATAGATAACAGCTGATGTGTCCGACACTGAAGAAGACTTTGGTAGTTTTAATGGGCAGGAAGAAGACAATGGCAATGAATGACTGACTTTGCTTCCTTTTAAAGCCTAAGCTGCACCTTTGCCCCAAAGGTCGGCCGAATCAATTTTTTTCTGTTGTGCTGTATTTTATTTTTATACAGTACAGTTGATACTCATTTAAACAGCACACTACATATTTCGTACTTGTAATTACCAGTAGTTGTACATATACATAAAAAGTTATGCAAATATGTAGCAGTAGCTTATTTTTCAAACTGTTAATAAAAGGGATAAGTTCCCAAACAGCCTTCTCTTCCCTGACAGTCCCTTTTGTGAATATTCTCGTAAATATGGTAATTAAACGTTGAAACACCTGAGGCTTTTAGTCAGATGTGGCTAATATTTGAAGAAAAAAGGATTTTCCCCTTATTTTATCTTGTGTTTCTAATATTCAGGTGCGCCTTGTAGTCCAGAAAATACGGTAATTTTCTTTTGGTTTGCACAAGATGAACTTTAAGTTGGCACAAGATTTGAAATGATCAAAATTGGAACATCACAATGGTCTTATATGACATCCCAAAAACCTGATGTTTTATGTCCTCCGTTTATAAACTAAGACGCAGAGTAGGATAGGAGTTGTTTTGGTATTAATATAATTACAGACTACAGTGAGAATAACAGGTGTACAATGTTTGTTCAAGTGTGATCAACAAACCACTACGGCAGAATCTTTAAATAGAAAGCTCCTCTTTGCCTTTCAAGGCCGCAGTTAACGAGCTCAGTGAGGTAAATATTCGTCAAGGATCCCGCTCTGTTGCATTGGATGTCAACATAATTAATGTGAAAGTGTTGATATCACAAGTGTAAATATCACACAGCTATTTGTGATGCACAGTAACAGGAAAACCTGCTTTCTCCCTGTCTTCATAAAACCAGGAGGGATGTGTAGGTAGGCTGCAAACATTCCTACATCTCTGTGAGAGTTCAGAGTCAGAACTGGCCTTGGGCATAATTTAGCCCTGACACTAACCTCAGCTACTTCAACAACTTGCTGTACAGTAAGAAGAATCTTAAGAGGCTTCAGTAATCCACTGTGCTTTCTTCTTTTAAAATCCCTGCCGACATCTTGGATGGGGGTGTTCTGCATCGTTTTAATCTATCCTACGTCACCACTGAGAACATATCAGCTGTGTCTTAATGAATTATGAGCCTTTTCCCTGCAGATCCAAAACAACGCATGCACATTTTTTCTTTAAGGTCCTGCTTGTCCCAATATTTGCAGTAGTTTTAATTGTTGTCAAATCTACAGGTTAGTGTAAAAGTTAATTTTTTTTAACCCTGTAATGCCAAATGTATCATATTTGATACATACGGTTTCTGAAATGTTTTGCGTCTGACACCTTTTGCATAATTTAATGGTAAAAACTTTGCTCAAAATCCTATTGTACACAATCAGATATACCTGATAACAGAGGGCAGAAGACTACACAAAAAATAATCTTGACTTATCGAATAGTAATAAATTATTAATATCAAAAATCTATTTCTGTTTTTTCTTTTTACATATTTTGTTAAAAGGCCAAATAACGACTTAAAACCAAAAAAAAAAGTAATTTTCGGTTTTGTTTTATTCTTGGATCGGGCTTTAAAGGGTTAAAATCTGAAATCTATGAAACACATTGTTCATATCTCACTTGTTTCTTTCTTCATGCCACCAAATAGGTATAAATTATGTATTTCACCAATGTTTTTGGATTAATGTTGTACACATACCAAAAATCTGTTAGAATCACTTTGCTGCCATTTGGTGGATACAGTTAATTACATCTAACTTTCCTCATTAATAAAATACCTAAATGTATGTATATTTTACAATTCTTAACTTATAAAGTTTTATCAGGTATGCCATCTGCCTTACAGCAAAATTATGTTTATTTGATTGTAAATTTGGGCACATAGGGAAATTATTTAAGTACTAAAACTAGTATTTTTTTAGGTTTATTGCTGAAAGATAATAAAAGCACAAAATGATGCTGCTTTGAAATGTATTATTTGATTTAGTATGCAAACATAATTACTTTGTCACATTTGTTTGGCATCAATTTTAGTTCAATACAGCTGGGAATGAAGGTAATGATTAATATGTGGTTCTGCAGATGTTAAGGAAGCCCTGCTTGCTTTGACAGTGAGCTTTAGCTTTTTTGATGCAGGTGTCTCTTATCCACCTCTTAAAGGTTCGCCCATGGATACTCTCTGGTTATTGGTCAGGTTAAATGTTTGATACATTAGAACTTATTCATCAAATTTGTTTCCATGTCCTTTTAAGCACATTTATTATTTTTTCCAAATAAAGTCAAAAAGCATCTTAAGTTAACGTTTTTTTTTTTTTACCGTTTTCTTATTTATTAATTTGATATAAATTTTAACGCTTCCCTCCAGCTCTTTTAATGCAATACTTCACATTTGCTAAAGTTTTCTTTTAAACTCTTCTGATGACTGCTGTTATCACTCGTTATTGGAGCACGTTCTTTGTCCCTGTGTTTCTCTCCGCTCACCTTTTCATCCCTAAGCATGACCTGTTATGAATTAATCTCTCTGTCAACATTGTCCTTGTCTGTTTGCTGGACAGAGTTCCTGGAAATAGTGCTGTATACTAACAAAAAAATATATAAATCTTTGAGATTTCCTTTGTTAACAGCTTGCTTAAAACATCTGGAAAACGCTGAAAACATTTTCAGGAACATCCAATAAATGCTGAAATTACTGTTTGCTGCTGTTGACTGTCAATTGGCATCGAACAGAAAACTCTGCATTACCTTCAGTGACATCGGACATTATTCTGATTGTAAATGTTACTAGTTTTAGTGACTGTAAAGGTGAACCACACTTCTGCTTCACACATAGAACAGGGTTTATTAGAGACCAGGGCGGGTTGCCTTTGGTTCGGAACGTCTACCTTTCCAAAAAAGTAAAAAAAACAAACCACTGAACTTTGTTTTCCAAGTCTGAAGATGTTTCGCTTCCCATTCAGGAAGCTTTTTCAATTCAAAAGTCGTTAGGGTCATTGTTGGCCGCCTTTTCAGCCAGGCCAAAAATAAATGTAAGGACTTCCTTTTTCAGAGGCATAGACCAGTAACAGGTGTTGCAGGCTAACAAAGACCTCAACGACTCTCCATTACAAAGGGGCGGACCTGTTCTTCTGGTTCAATTTGCATGTTTTCTAATTCAAAACAAGGCTTTGTTGGGCTACTCTATAAAGCTTGTACCTCAATGCTATTTCAGACATTTCAAATTTAAAAAGCTTCCTGGATGGATAGTGAAACGTCTTCAAACCTGGAAAAACAAAGTCCTTGATGACTGAGAATCTTTACTAGCAACCTCTACCTTGTTAATATCTGTCATCGGCCTGGTTGTGCAATTGGTGCCAGAGAGACCATTGGACTTCATTGGTTGACATGTGATAAATTCTGGTTTAAAAAAAGGAGATGCTAACCCAAAGCAGTGTGTTATTTCTCTGGTGACCTGCATAAGGTGGAGATGCCTTTCTGTTGTAGGTGTGTACAACCAAAACACTGCTGCCCCTGGTTGTTAAGGGGACAAATTGTTAAGCTGCCCTTTGTAAACTCTAAAAATCCAATTCAGCAAATAAAGGCAGAGAATCAAAAGCAGAATAAACAGATTGGAAGAGCAATTTTCTTGTAAGCAACCCACAGTCTTTATATTTGACATGAAAGATTGTTAAAACACATTATTGATTAACTAAGCTCAAAATTCACTTTTTTAAAAGAAGGGTTTAATAAAGTCATACCTCATTTGGACATGATATGTGGTCAGAGTGGTACGGTTGCAGAGGTCAAAGATCTGCATGTAGATGTTGACCTTTGAAGTGAATGTGAAAGTAGGTATTAGTCATTTTGCAAGGCTCTGTTACACTAGATGGCCCCTAAAGCTTATTATCATTTAATAATCTTTTCCTTCTTTGGACTCTTCCTGGTCGAGGTCAATGGTCATTCTTTCCTTAACCCTGTTTTCAAAAAGATAACTTTTTGTAAAGAATAATTCCAGCTTTTGAACTGTTTGTCACGTGTCACCATCAACTGGAGTAAACTGGATTTAATATATAGAGTCAAAAAAAAAAACATGTTGGTCAGTATCTCAGCCCTGCAGTTGGTTCAGCTCTTTGTTTGAACTTGTCAGTCCGCCATTCAGCGATAAAAAAATGTTAGCAAGTAGTTAAATGTTTCAGCTTTGGACAGCAGCTCTATCAAACCCTTCTGACAGTTTGTCTGTGTGCACATCAAGGCAGGCTGCAGCACATGATAAGTCAGCTGCATATCTCCTGAAGCAGCTCCCCTCACTGTCTGCAGTGGAAAGTGTATTTGTGTAAATGTTTATCTCTGCACTGCCGTCGGTTCCTTTTGATTTCACTTAAGTCTTATGTCTTTTGTCATGTTCTGCTCTCCTGATTGCTTGCTTATGGGTGTTGTTTGTTTTCTCCCTCCCCGTTTCTTCTTTATTTGCATGTTGTTCCTCCTGTTCCTCCACACCTCCCTCCTCAACCTGCCCTGTCCTCCCCCTGTGTGCTCAGACACTGTGCCCAGCGCTGAACCTGCAGCTCATGGTTGGTATCTCTACTTTCCTTTTTATGTCTCTTTTTTGTACTTTATATTTGTCCCTGCAGCGTGCATGGCTTTTCTCTTGCTCTGTGGATTTTATTGAGCCTTGCTGCTTTGCTTTGGAATGTCAACCGCCTCCTGACAGTTATTTATTGATAGAACTGATCAGTCTTTTGGGATACCAGTTTCAGCTAAAAGCCAAGTTCTTTTTTTTTTTTTTTTTGTTGCATTTATTCTGTCAGAATAAGTTATTGCTACTGCAAAAAGCCAGTTATGGTGTAACAACTTCTAATCATTCTTGCTGGAACCGCACTTGGAGAATGATTTCACCGACTAACCAATTACAGCGTTTCCCTGAAGGTGCCACAGAGTAATAAAACCCACTCTGAGGACACGACTGATTATATCAGCCACAGCAGATAGCTTTGTGTACAGGCAAAAATAGACCTCATTTACTTGTTTTCATGCGTTTGACTGAAGCTGATACACATCATTTTCTAATTTCGTCTAATTTGCATCGCTTCTCCATTATTTTTTCTTTTTTTTTTTTTTTTTGAGATGCTGTTTCATAATTTGTACGAGCGAATTCACGGTCACAAGCTTTCTGTTAATCAATGTGCTCATTTTGCTTCATTTGAATTTTAAAACTTACATCACTTGCTTGGTTTAATGACCAAATTAGTGAGCTGCAGAGTAAATATAAGCTCCTGTTTGTCGCAATTTAGCTGCATGATTTCATTTGGGTCAACTAGTTATTTGAAGCTTAGCACAGGTCAAACAAAACATGATGGGGAATTTACAGCATATCAAGAGACATGCCTACTTTACCTTGTTTGTGATCCAGACCTCCTGCAAGTTCTGCAAGCCTGCCAAAACAGGTTGAAACAGCTCCTTTTTTTGGTGGTGAAATATCCTTGTGTGACAGTGGGAGCATGGTTGCCATAGCTGCCTATGTGCAGTACACTGAATGGATTGGTTATCTAAGTTTTGATCATGCCTAACAATGAACCTGCAACTTAATTAACACCAATGATTAGGTGGAAGCTTTGTAACAAAGTTCCTCTTACACTCTAGACACTAACAATGCTTCACTTATTACATCCATTGCTGCTATTGCTTAAAACAAAAGGATTTAGGCAAGTGACTACAATGAACAAGACTTTGCCTCACCTTTAATTTGCACTTTTTCTGTCTAAAGCTTGAATGCAAAACACATATCAAGGATAACCCCTGACCGTACAAGGTTTAGGGAGAAAATAGGAGAAAGACATAAGGCTTACTTTATGTCATAAAAATGGTAAGATTTTAGGTTTTGTGCATGATTCCTTTTAGTTTTTACACACTGCCAATTGAAAAAGTCCACCATAAAGATCCAAGAGAGGGAATCCTTGCCGTCATTAAAACTGTGAAAGGTTTAGAGGCTATTTCCAAAGTACTTTAAGACAGTTTATGAACATTTAAATTGGATGCTGATTCTCCCTATAATGTACCTCCTATTCCATTAACTCACCAAGGTGTCCGAATGAGCAATGCTCAGAGAAAACTTCTAACACCACGGGCCCCAAATCAGGGTCTGCAAGACACAGTTAAAGGTTCATATGAGTTGAAAAAATAAATTCTTGTGTCGTACTGTTTGCACGGGTTGACAATTTGGTTTGTTGAACTGCATTTGAGCGAAAAGAAATTCTACTTGAATACTTTTCTTTTAACAGGTGTTTCTTTTGCTCATAAATAACAGGATCATGTATGTAGAGACAAATGTGAGGTTCCCCTTACAAATACGATTTTGGTTTTGAAGGGAATGAATCAATGGAACACTAAACCAGCAGTAAACCTACAACAAAATGTCTATAATAGAAACAAATCCAAATGTTGAAATGGTCCACTCAAAGTCTAGAGTTATACCTGGGCGGAAACTTTCCCAGAGCTGTGTAGAAAGTGACCACTGGGAGCCTCTACTGCTTGCTGCTGTTACTGACTAGATCAGGGCTCGCCAATGCGGTGCCCACGGGCACCAAGGGGCCCTCAAGGACCACATGGGGTGCCCTCAACGCCTTCTGAAAACAGCAACTCAGCAGTGGGCTAAGTTTGAAATTTTATTTTATTCTGTGACTCTTCTTTTTAATCATTTATATAGCATTTCATCATAGTAATCATATAGGGCATTTTAGCATTTATAGAGATTTTAAAATTATAATGTTTAAAGAAAAAATAGAAATTAAAAGTTAACAATAAAGATGTGTTTAATTTGGATGAAGTTTAGGTGAACGCTGACCCCTCTTGTTCATACGTTAGTTTTGAGAGCCCTTCCTATGATTCAATAGCCATGAAGTAGCCCTCAGCCTTGAAGTGGTTGGTGACCCCTCGACTAGATCATCGGAAAATGTATCTTTTTTTTTTATAACCGTTTATCTTTTAATGGCATTGCACCGATACCAGTACCAGTATCTGGCAGGGCCCCGATACTGCACTAAAATGGTGGTATCGTATCGACGAGTACCAACAAATAGGGAACCGATACCATTGTGAGAGCCAAAAGTTTATTTAACTATTGTCACTCATTCCAGGTAGGCAACAAAAAGTTGTAGTAGATTCACTTTGTATTAGTCTCTTTTTTCCTGCTTCACAAAGGTTGGCAGCAGCTTGACAAAGCCACAATGGCAATTATATATACATGCATCAATTTCAAACAGATGGTATCGGTATCGGCCGATACTGCACAGCCAGGTATCGGGGCCAAAAAATGGCATCGGTGCAACACTACATTTCTGTTCACCTCAGTCTAAACTACTGTCTATAAAATAAACCTCTAGGTTTCAACTTTTGATTTAATTACTGACTTAGAAAAATACTAGAGTCTGCAGTGCATGGATTGTTGATGTGTGAATTACGTAGGGAATATTGAAATCGAATTGCTCCTATTAAAATTCAAGGTAACCTCAGTATTTTAGTGTTGCTGAATTTTTCATTGCATTGATTGAACCGATTGCATCCATCACTGTTAGTTATCCTGTAGCTGCTAACGCACCGTTGGATTCTCCTGTCACTTGCAGTCAGGAGCTGTACCCTTTCTCTATTGCAAGAAGCTCATCTTGAAGAGAAAGCAGATGTTTTGTTCTTTCGTGTAAGATGTTTTCTCAGCATTGATGAGTTTTTGAATGCTCACCCCAGATGTTCTATCTCAGCCTATAATCATTTTTTAAATGTTGGTAATTAGCTGCAGAGATGCATCCTAAGTATGAAATTTGAATTTCCTTGTGCTTTTCTTGATATTTTTTGGCTCAAATGTGGTAAACAGTGGCTCAATGCCGAGATGGATTGAATCATCGTTTTATGAGACAATTTGTTGTAAATTCAATATTCATCTGTTTCACTTAGGTTCCTGTGCAAATGTTTTAAATCGTCTTTCATGTCTTCATTCTTTTCTACCAAACAGGTTGGCTTTCTTTTGATTTTTTTAAAAGTGGTTTTTATCAATGGTGAAATATACATGACTGATCATCATGACTATGTTTCTTGCACAATACTATATGATGAAAAGAGGACCCAAAGTATTTATGAGGTTTCGGAGCCCTTGTGTAACAGATAAAGTGGAGTTTCAATGCTTAATGAGCGAAAAATATGCTCTCTCATTGTTCTTTATCATGCTTCAAATGTTAAAAATATGCATTAGTTCCTGTTTTGAAATCATATATTTTGTGCTGGCTCCCCGTCAGGCACGCCACATATTGCTAAAGTGCTTATATTCCTCAACCTTTTTCGCATCTTTTCACATTTAAACCTAAAAACATTTTTTTTGTTCTTTTATTATCCATCTACACAAAGTAAAACACCGATGTGAAGAGAACAACCGGCATTATTAAGACCAACAAACTCAGTCAGGGACAAAGTTTTTCAAAAGTGTGAAGCAGTGTTATGCCACTGTCACACCTTAACGATTTAGCCAGCGTCTGCCAACGTTGGAAAAATTTGCCCTAAACGCTGGCGTACGTTGGAAAAGTTATGGGTAAGTTTAAGGACACTGAAACACGCTGCCACATGTCGACATACGGCAAGTACATTTAGTATGACAGCGTATGCTCATAGCTGAGCCATAAAACATCTGATCGTGGACATATGTTAATTGTAAGCTACTCATAAGTCATGGTGTCTAGCTTATCCGAAACCTATGAGTAACTTGTGTATAACTGATGCGTAACTAATCAAGAACTTATTTCCAACACATATCGACATATGCAGGTATATTTGACAACTTACAGACGACCACTGAACATGTTTCTAAATTACTGCTACTGTATAATGGCGTATTGGCAGTGTTTTGTTATAAATAGGAGGTACACAGGAGGAAACTTCAGGCGTTCCACTAGAGATAGAGGATCCGGCAAGGCTGAAAACATACTAACTGTCCTCCAACATCAGCATGATCTCATCAATTAGACTCTGGTCCAGTTGTGTCCTAACAATAGAGCCACCAGACACAGTGCTGCCGCCCTCAGGACCAGGGGTGGATTTACTATTAAGAAAAACTAGGCAGTTGCCTAGGACCCCAGGTTTCTGGGGGCCCCATAAAACTCATATTGCATATATGGTAAATACAGCTATTACTTATTTGTCACATTCATTTTTTAAAATAAAAATCCTTTTGATTAAAATGCAATCAGAATGCCCCCCTTCAATGCTCACTACATTGGATCAGTCCATTTGTTGCACGGTGCATTTGGAAACAGACTATGCGACGAGATGAGCAGAGAAGAGAAGAAGATATAGGAAAGATGAAAAGTAGCTATCCTAGCGGTGCTAGGAGGAAAGTAGAAAGCTGCTTTTAAAGTTACTGAAAGTGACTGACTTGGGCTTCTGCATTGCGGCAGTGGCTAGCACCAGCAGCAGCCCACAATCAGCAGCAAACTCAGCTTCAAATTTGACACCTGTGAGATGAACAAATAGTAGGCATTAAAGCGTTGAAGGGGAGGTCCCCTTATATTGATAACTATATATTTACCATATT